GAGGTCGGGGCTGTGAGAGCCGCCTTTGCGAAGGATAAAGAATACGCCCTGGTTGTCCACCCGCACGAGAACGTGTTTTTGCTTGATCTTGTTCGCGTACGTTTGTAGCGCCCAAAGGACGCCTTCGATCTCCCGTCGCGTGCTGGACGTTCCTCGTAGCGGCTCTGACATGGTTGCGCTAGCTTCTTCGATGCCACCCGGAAATGTGGTCAGAGTGGCGCCCCAACCATGAGAGCTGGCATCCACGTGGATTACCGCGGCGTAGCTGTTCTTGACGTGAAAAGGTGCGCCGTTGAAACGGTCGAACTCCTCGAGCCAAAATTGGAGCTCTTCTGCTGCAGATGGGGGGATAACGACGCTGCTTTTCCATGACGGTGCGTCGTCGATCACTTGTAACATGGCATGGCTGAATGCGCGAGCTGTCGCGCCAAGTGCGACACCCATCGATGCGAGCATGCCAGTGATTCTGGCCACGTGGCGGACCGGGACTGGTCGGCATGCCTTGCTTGCGCTCAGGAGGTTCCGGATGGTTGCATGTAGTGAGGCTCGTCGGTCCGGACCGATGGAGAATCGGCCGGTATCGGTCTCGAGTTCTACGCCCAGGAAACGGAGACGCTGCGATGGTGACAGTTGTGATTTCTTCGCGTTTATCACAAGGCCTGCCTCTTTAAGATCCAATATCACCCGCTGGCAAGTTGCTTGCGCGTCCTCTTTCGACTGGCAGAGAAATAAGATGTCGTCCATGTAAGGTACGACTCGGATGCCTTGTTCTCGCCAACGCCGAGCTAGTTGCTTGATGAGCTGCGTGAAAACGAATGGAGCTGTCGCGAGGCCAAATGGTAGTGAACGGAATGCGTATGTGCGCTTATCAAATTCAAAGCCAAGGAACTTCCAGCACGATGGGTGGATGTCGATGTGGTGGTAACCAGATTTGAGGTCAATGGAGAACATCCAGTCCCCAACGCGCGCAAGGTCGGCGACGCGGCTGAGCCCTTCGTACTTGAACTTGGGGATGATCAAGTTGGCGTTGACTTTCCTCAGATCAAGAATGAGCCTGCATTTGTCTTTTTGCTCGACCACGTTGAGTGGACTTATGCATGTAAGCTCCGTTGCGGCCATCGGAATTGCCGCTCCCGTCTCTATGAGTTCTTGGATGGCGGTACGTGTGAACGTGGCATGCGTGTTTGCCCCGACATGATTGCGATCGTGGAAATGTTGCGGTGGGCCGTGGCTCCATGGCAACCAGTAACCCTTGGCGATGACGGAGAGGACAAGGCTGCTGGGGCACCATGAGCTCCACCACGCAAATGTCGCGCGAAGACGACCGCGCATGTGTGTAATAGTTCTGTCTGTAACGGCAAATTCGTACGGATCGTCGTGGCATCCCGCCTCGCACCGTCGTGCTCCTGTACATTTGAGACCAAGTGGTATAAGCTTTGAGTATTCCACGTTAAAGCATACGTGTGCATGTACTTGTACGGGCAACCATTGATCGAAGGTGTGAAGAGAATGAACAATTGAATGAAATGTCAACGAATGTGTCGGGAATATTAACGCATGTCAACGCATGTCTCTTCTTCTCCTCGTTTCCCCTTTTTTTTTTTTTTTTTTTTTTTTCTTGCCCCGTCGTCCACTTGGTAGGACATGGTTGTGCCTGCCCTTAGTGCGTAGGGGCTGATGCCTAGGGCCATGGACACCGTTGTCCATTGTGCTTTCTCTCATTCTCTCTTTGCCAAAACCATAGGCCTTTAGGAAGGTAGTTTTTATTAAATCAACCAACACACATAGCAATGCTTTCCTAGCATGCCACCAAGTGGCCAACATATGGGACCGAGGGGTTGTTGTTCCCCTTCCCTATCCTAGGCCCAAGCCTATCCCACCCTTTACTAGGGCTGGCCTCTTGCCATCGCAAACCCCTAGGGTTGCCCACGGTTTTCGCACTCAAGAGTGCACCGTGCCTAGCGCCCAAGCGCCTAGTCTCATGGCCCGCTCCTACACCACCGGAGCGGGTCCCTGGCCTCCATGCCCGTTCCGAGGGCAGGCACTTGCCACGTGGCCCGGCTGGCCGCAGCGGAAGCATGAGCCCCGGAACCCACGGCAATTGGCCGTGGGCGGGGGGCCTCGCTTGGGTAAGAACGGCATCGGCCCGTTGTTTCCGCCGCGGTTGACACGAGCGTATTCGCTTGCCGCACGGTCCATCGCTGCCATGTCCGCGACCGCCTGCTTGAAGGGTCGAGAAGTCAGCAGGCTCTTCTGCTGGTACAGCTTAAAGCGCTTCGCCGTGCGAAAGTCGGAGGCGTCCTCCACTTGAAGCACCTCGAAACGCCCCGCGATGAGGTTGAGAGCGTGTGAGATGAGTTCGAGTCCGCCCGCCGGATCACCGCGCTGCGCCTTGTATTCGGCGTGCAGCAGGTACGCCCGCAGGTCCTCCAGTAGCTCCGCTTGCTCTCGCACGGAGTCGTTGACGAAGGTTGCCGCCGAGAAGGTAAGATTAGAAGAAGGGAGGGGGGGAAGGTTTTCCGTGCCAATAAAATTAACATTGTTGACTGGAGCCTCACCGGCTTCATCTTCAGAGTCGTCGGTGTCGTTGTCGACCGCTGGAGCAGGGGGAGCGGCAGTCGCTGCGTCGTTGTCATGCCGGTTCGTCCGTGCTCCCCGTGTGCCTTTCTCCTTTTTTGCAGTTTCTTTTTTAGCCGACGCAGATGCGGCGGGTAGTGCAGTTTCCGCGGCTGTAACGCTGACGGGTTGCTGCTGTAGAAGGGACAGCAGCGCGTTGACCTGGTCCGGGGTCAACGCCTGCGTCAGCGCAGGGGCGGCGGTCGCGTCAGACGAGGAGACTGCAGTCCGCCTCCTCTGAGGCTGACGCGACGGTCCAGCAGCGGGTGCTGGCGTGTGCTCGGCGTCAGTCGCGTGTGCCGCGCCAGTCCCCGTCGCCACTTGCGCCACAGGTGCCACTGGCGCCACAGGCGCCACTGGCGCCACAGGCGCCACTGGCGCCACACGGACCGAAGGGTGCTGCTGGGTTTCGGCGTTTTTGTGGACCTCGAGCCCGCCCAGCAGCACGTCCACTGCAGTCGGGGCGTAAGGTCCGTCTTCTGCCCGACGCTTGTTACGGCGTTCGCCCGCAGAATCGCGGGCGTTACGGTCGGAGTCGGAAGCGGGGGTTGACGAGTTCCCGTTGTTAAGTGTCGGCGTAGGTGCCATCGTTGAGCGATTGAAGTTGAAAATGTCGCTGAGTAAAGTAGAGGGTGACTCGCCTCTAGGAAGCGATTTAATCCTAGCCAGCTTGGAGGGAAAAACTACTCGAGCGGAAAATGTTGAGTGAGCCGTTTGAAAATTGAGAAACGTGGGTGGAGGGAAATGAGCTCCAACCCACGGTTTTTGTAGTTGGAGAAGGGCGTTTAGCGCGCTTCGACGATGCCAATTGTGCAGTACAAGCAGCTTCGCTTTCACAATACACAATTTTAAAAAACACTACATGTGTGTTTAAAAATTATAATTTTTAAACACACGAAGTGTTTTTCAAAATTTCGTATTTCAAAAGCGCAAGTGCTTGTAACGCATGTTTTGGCATCGTCGAAGAGCGCTAAATGCTCTTCTCCAACTACAAATCGTGGGTTGGAGCTCATTTCCCTCCACCCACGTCTCTCATTTTTCCAACGGCTCATACAACTCTCCCACCCCCTGCCCCAACACCGATGGACATCACATACGTTGTTTGAACACGAAGATCGATAGCCAGTAGCATAATAAATAGCGAGTATAATGATTAATAGCTAGTACAATGATTGATACGTAGTATAATATGTACTAGCACTTTGTTTCCTAGCTTGAGAGGCATGTTATAATCTGCCAGTTGAAATGAGAACGATGCCAAATCATAAGAGAAAGCAAGCTTTGTGAATGCAGAAGGAGGGTGAAGTCGTGGCTGCTGGAGCTTCCGAGGAGAACGATGATGAGGGGGAGGAGGAAGAGGATGAAGTGGAACAGAACCTGGGCAACGATCAGGAGCTCGTGGGGGAGGAGGACAACCCCTTCCTGTCGGACGATGAGGACGTGGAGGAGGTGTACCACATTGACATGCCCGTGCACTAGATAGTGTAGAAAAGTTTCTACATGATGTATAAGACTTCGTAAAGTGTAGAGCAAATTTAAAAGCAACCCTGATCTTATGCTTTGAACCCTGCCGAATCAGAGTAAGACTATGGTGGACACCGAGCTATCAGAGTGGCTACCTTGTGGAAAATGTGCCCTCATAATACAGGGGAAACAAATTCCCCGGAATCAGGGAGGCCCAAAATGAAACGTCAGAACTGGTACTAGCCATATGGAGTGCCCCACTATAGCCTAACAAGCACAATTGCAATTTGGCAGTCACATCACAACCATACCGTGTCTTTATTTGCATGTACCTACACCTGAACCCCATTATATTGGCAGAAGGAAGAGCTTTTCCACAATGCTTACATAGTTCAGTACAGCATATTTAAAGTTTCCCACATGATCACCCTGATCTCCACTGCAGGGAAAAAACAAGGCAAATGATTCAGTACACTTGGAGTGGAGGGGAAGCGGGTTGGCTCATTCATGGCTGCTAAAAAATCGTGGCTATTTAGGCACGGAGTGAACAGATGTGTGCGATATGTGAAAGGCAGAACGAAAAGCCACAAAATGAATAATACTTGGCAGGCAATGCAGAGAAACGAAACCCTGTGGTAGCAGAAGCAATGTTGATCAAGCGGGCGTGCATAAGCGGCACCTGTTGTGCGATGTCATCCTCCCTGGACGGCCCCTGCGACTTGGCAGCAGCCGCCGCCATGGCCGAGCGCGCCGCCCTCCCCTGCGCTGAACTCTCAAAGCGCGCCGCCCTGGGGGGACGAGGGGAGTTGGGCAAGGGGGCAGAGGGATGAATGGGTGAAGGGCGAGCTGCGGGTGGCGCGGAAGAGCGTGAGCCAAGACAACACACTCAAAGGATTAGTGGGTTGCTGCATGGCTCCTAGATGGAGGGGCTGCTAGATGGAGTGGCTGCTTCAGTGGTCGCATGGCAGCGTGGCGTCACATCACAGCTGATCCTAGAGCTTTCCCATCCAATCAGTTCCCCACCCATCCCATCTTCTTGCGCTCTTCCTTCTCTCCCTGCCCACACGCACCCCATCTTCTCCCATCCCCCTTGCCTCTCCCATCCCCCTTGCCCCACCTCCCTCCCCTGTTCCTCTTCCCCCCACTCTCCCTCCCCGCTCCTCCCTCTCCGCTCTTCCCTCCCCCCATCCCCGCGGGCACCTTTCCTCCGCGGCCTGCGCAGCTCTGCTGCGCGCATGCGCCACCTCCTGCCTCTCCGCGTCGGTCAGCGGGCGCTCGCCGCGCGGGAAGCAGTCGAAGCACGACACCAGCGCGCCCATCCCCGCCTGCGCACGGCCGGGACGGGTCACGGGGGTTGTTCGGACGAACAGGAGTTGGGGGGGGGGGGGTGGAGAGGAGAGGGGGCACGCGGCAAATTCCCACCAACGATGGCTACAGGTCGCTTGCTGCCTCGTCGAACGATGGCTACAGGTCGCTTGCTGCCTCGTCGAACGATGGCTACAGGTCGCTAGCTGCCTCGTCGAACGATGGCTACAGGTCGCTTGCTGCCTCGTCGAACGATGGCTACAGGTCGCTTGCTGCCTCGTCGAACGATGGCTACAGGTCGCTTGCTGCCTCGTCGAACGATGGCTACAGGTCGCTAGCTGCCTCGTCGAACGATTATATGTTTCCACGCGGTACCGTCGACTTCATCTGCTCTCGCTTCGTGACTCTTGCGCGACGAGACGCGAGGCGAGACTTGGAGAGAGTGTGAGCAGCTCGGATTGGTGCCGCTGTGTTTCTTAGTTGCTCTCCTATGTCTGGCCTCGGACACCCAACCCAACCAAACGAGACGTTCCATGCCCTATAAGTTGCACCTGCAGTTGACCGTTCCGCATCGTACTGTATCGAAGAGTCCTCATTGTCGAAGTGCCCCTTCTTTTCAGTGTTCCGCGAAGTGGACGACTTGTACACTAGAGACACAATATTTCAGGGTTTGCAGTTATTTACCCGATTTTCACTGGAATTGTCGTCGAGGCGCCATACGCCTTCCGTCGTCAGCTCTGCGTCATCAAGCCACGCACTTATGTCATGGGACCTTTTCCGCGACCGACCGCTTAGTTGATCGCACTCACAGACGTGTCGCAGCGGCTCTTTCCACCCTGCGGTGCCCGCCTGCCCGCAGTGCCGTGCTTCCTGCGCGCGTGCCCGCCTATCCTCCTGTGCTCCTCGCACTGCGCGCTTGCGCCGCTGCCGCCTGTGAGCGTCACAGCGGCGCCTGCGGAGGTTCGAGGACGTCTGGCGCGCCGCGCCACGCGACGGCGAGGCAGCGGGCGGCATGGCGGCGGTGAAGGCGAGTGCGCGGTGCGCTGAGAACGAGGCGGTGGTGGCGTACCTGCAGGGCCGGCAGCGCGAGCTGTGCGGCGAGTGGGACGGCGCGCTGACCCGCGCGTTCCGCATGGCTATCGCGAGCATCAGCGACCACTCGCTGCCCCTGCGCACCCTGAATGACGCCAGCAAGCTCAGGTGCCTCCTCGCGGCACTCATCCGCGTGTCTGCACTCCGCACGCACGCCTCACTGCCGCACCCTCGCCGCACACACAACACCATCCCCCGTACCCCCCTCCTCTGCTCTTCCCCTCTTCCCCTTCCCCCCCGTCCCCCCCATCCCCCCCCCCCTCCCCCCCCGCAGGAACGTGGGTCCCGCCATCCAGCGCCAGCTCAAGGCGTTCTTCGCCACCCACAAGCCCGCCGCCCGGCCCCGCCCGCCCACCCCGCCCGCCAATAGCGCGCTGCCAGCTGGCAGCGACCCGGGCATGGCGGTGGGCGGAGGGGCGATGGACATGGCTCCCGTGGGAGGTGGGGGGGGAAGAAGTTTACGGGGCGGCAGGGGAGGTGGGGGCAGGGGAGGTGGGGGCAAAGGGAAAGGGAGAAAGGGAAAGGGAGGAGCAGCGCATGGGGTGCAGCTTGGCGGGTGTCGCAAGCGAGAAAAGTGTGTGCAGTGTATGCGTGTGTGCAGGAGAAAGTGAGATGCATGCGAGGAAGAGAGAAAGGCAGCAGGGAGGAGAGGGGCGAGGGGACGAGGCTTAGCACGGTGGGAGCGTCTAACAGCTGCTGCCTCGTGTGTGCAGGTGATGACGTGGCACATGGCATGGACCAATCAGCAGCGCCCATGCCGGACTCCATCCCGCGCAAGCCGCCCAAATACTCCCCCAAGCGCGGCTCTGCCGCCTTCGCCATCCTCGTCACCCTCCTGCTGTGAGGGCCCCCGCCTAGGCCCCTTCCCACTGGCCCCATTCCCACTGCCCCCATTCCCACTGCCCTCATTCCCACTGCCCCCATTCTCACTGCCCTCATTCCCACTGCCCTCATTCCCACTGCCCCCACTCCCACTGCCCCCATTCCCACTGCCCCCATTCCCACTGCCCCCATTCCCACTGCCCTCATTCCCACTGCCCCCATTCCCACTGCCCTCATTCTCACTGCCCCCATTCCCACTGCCCTCATTCCCACTGCCCCCATTCCCGCTGCCCTCCTCCCCGCATGCCCCCTTCCCTACCTTCCCCTCACGCCACCTGCCAGTGTGAGCCCCTCAGAGAATTCTCAAAGGCAAGGTGCAAAATTTCGGCAAAGGTAAAATACGGTTCGTTTTTTACGCTCGTATTTTACGGTCAGATTTCAAAAATTCGGTCGTTTTTTTGTTAGAGATTTTGTGACCTTTTTTTTTCTTTTTTTTTGAAGACAGTAGACATGACTCCGCTTCTGACCAGGATAGCGAAGAAGCAATATAATGCTAACAAAGTGTTTAGGTTGCGCTCGTTCAACCCTCCTCCTCCTCCCCCCCAGACTCTTCATCCTCTCCTCCTCGGAGTCACCGTTCAACTACAATCCCACTGATAAATCCCCTTTGTCTTCCTCATGGCTGGTTCCATGGTTGGAACCAATACTTGAACATATGTGTAAACCAGCTGGTTTCAAGATTTTTGCTGTAAAAAACGGCCGTTTTTTTGCACCACATTAAAATTACCACCTTTTGGCGTTTTAAATCGTTTTAAACGGCTGAAAAATACGATAGCGTAATATACGCCAGAATTTCAATATTTCGGTCGTTTTCTTGCACCTTGCTCAGAGGTCATTGCATTCTGCCTCGCATCACTTGCATCCCATGCCATGCCATGCCATGCCATGTCATGTCATGCCATGCCTCGAGAGTCTTGCATTTCACTCACATGCGGCACCTTGCCTCACAATGGCATGGTGTGGCATGGCATGGCGTGGCATGGCACGGCACGGCGTGGCGTGGCGTGGCGTGGCGTGGCGTGGCGTGGCGTGGCGTGGCGTGGCGTGGCGTGGCGTGGCGTGGCGTGGCGTGGCATGGCATGGCATGGCATGGCATGGCGTGGCATGGCAGGGAGAAGGCAAAGGGGCGGCAAGCAGTGCCAGTGGCGGAGCTCATGGCCGCCTCCAGGGACGCCAACCTGCTGGCCTCCGTCATCAGGTGCCGTGTGTTGCTCTGCTCTGCCTCCCACGCATTCCACCAAAGTAGGATCCAGTCATTCCCACTCTGCATTTTGCACCATGCAACCACCACTGGCGTGTGTGCTCGCCCCCACCATGTGTTCATTTGCCTGGGCGGGCAGGTTCACGGTGCCCCCGGACGACCGCAGCTGGGGGGGGGCGCCGCTGCAGCAGTTTGCATGCGGGTGGAGCAGCATGGAGACGCTCGCCAAGCACAACCTCGTCGTCAAGACCGCCCACCCGCCCAGGTACCGCGCTCACTCTGCGCCGCCCAAGGTCAGATGCTGCTCGTGGGATGTAGTTGCATGACGCACTTGTGGCAGCACGCTGCGTGCCTCGCACCCCACCAACTACCTGTCAGAACACTTGCACTGGAGATGCCCGATTGATCCTAGGGAAGGGTTACAGGCTCATTGGCCTGGGGGGTTATGGGCGCACTGACCCGCTACTTAACAAGCCATTTTATCCCAGTGGTCTAGTGGCTGGGATTTTGACACTACCCACTGCTCCCATGCTACCCCATCTTGTCCACCGCCCTCTCCCCTACGGCCCGCACAGCTATGCGCTGTCGGAGGAGGGCCATGCCGTGGCGGTGGACTGCCTGCGCCGCTCCAAGATGCCATTGCCCCCCGCCGCTGTTGCTCTGCTGCCAGGTGCTCGCTGCCTGCCCCCCTGCCCCTCCCCCACTCACATGCTGCCTCGGTTGTGTGCTGCCATGATGCGTGTGTGCTGCCATGATGCGTGTGTGCTGCCTTGATGCGTGTGTGCTGCCATGATGTGTGTGTGCTGCCATGATGCATGTGTACTGCCATGCACATAATGATTTCATGTGCCCGTCTTCTGCAACCATCCTACTATCTCTCCAATCTCCATTGCAAGGCTTCTGCTCTCTCCTCTCTCCTCCCTCTCTTCCCTTCCCCCCGTCGCCCTACCTGGTGTCCGCGCTGTGCCGCGCACGCCATCGCACGCGCGGAAAGCAGAACCCACGGACACTGGGGGGGGAGCGGTGGGCAGACAGGTGCGCCCGACCTTAACCACGCCTTTCATGCCTCCGCGCACCACATGGTATCACGTACCTTGTGCTTGCTGACGTCATAGCATTTCCTTGCTGACATCATGGCACATGGCCATCGCACCCTCGTGCATGTCTCACCTCATGTCATGTGCCATGTCTCACCTCATGTCATGTGCCCTGTCTCACCTCATGTCATGTGCCATGCCCAACCCCATCTTTACAATACTGTGAGCCTCATTAGGGACGTTGCCTGGTTGAAATGTTTTGGCACAACCCAGTTTCCAAGGCCCACTGTCCTTCCACCTCCCTGCGTCCCTCCTATTCGGAAAACCATCCCACCCTTGACATGAGAGACGGCTCGCATCATCCGTTCACTATGTGGGGAGAGGCATGCACCGCTTTCCCCTCCCTCTTGCACCCACGTTTTCCATGCCCCTCCATGCCCCCCTGCCCCTCCCCCCCTCCCCTCCCCCCCCCCCTTCCGCAACATTCTCATGCACCCCTCTTCATCCCTCTTCACCGTGTGCACGCCACGGGTGGCAGGCAGTGCAGTGGTCCGCGCAGTTGCTCAACGACCCCTCCGCCATGCTCGACCTCCCAGGTCACCATGCCGCCATCACCATGCCGCCATCACCATGCCGCCATCACCATGCCGCCATCACCATGCCGCCATCACCATGCCACCATCACCATGCCGCCATCACCATGCCGCCATCATCATGCCGCCATCACCATGCCGCCATCACCATGCCGCCATCACCATGTCGCCATCACCATGCCGCCATGCCACCCACCCACCACACCGTGCCACTCCACCACACCGTGCCACTCCACCACACCGTGCCACTCCACCACACCGTTCCACTCCACATTGGCCCTCCCCGCCTGCCCCTCCCTCATCCCCTCCGTCCTCGCTGGCTGCTCTCACGCATCCCCCTGTTCCCCCCTGCCCCCCGGGGCAGGCAGCAGCGGCGTGGAGGGCGAGGAGGACTGGCAGGTGCCGCCGCTGGCAGTGGGGGAGCGCTTTTCAGACGCCTATGACGTCATCATCTTCATTGACAACCGCGATAGCGAGTGAGCTATGGCTGCTGCCGTGCTGCCCATGCTGGGCGCTGGGTGCTGGGCGCTGGGTGCTGGGCGCTGGGTGCTGGGTGCTGGGTGCTGGGCGCTGGGTGCTGGGCGCTGGGTGCTGGGTGCTGGGTGCTGGGTGGTGGGCGGTGGGCGGTGGGCGGTGGGCGGTGGTTGGGTGGTGTTGGTGGTGGTGGTGGTGGTGGTGGTGGTGGTGGTGGTGGTGGTGGTGGTGGTGGTGGTGGTGGTGGTGGTGGTGGTGGTGGTGGTGGTGGTGGTGGTGGTGGTGGTGGTGGTGGTGGTGGTGGTGGTGGTGGTGGTGGTGGTGGTGGTGGTGGTGGTGGTGGTGGTGGTGGTGGTGGTGGTGGTGGTGGTGGTGGTGGTGGTGGTGGTGGTGGTGGTGGTGGTGGTGGTGGTGGTGGTGGTGGTGGTGGTGGTGGTGGTGGTGGTGGTGGTGGTGGTGTTGGTGGTGGGGTGGCTCAGCGATGTTGCAGGGGGGCAACATGTTTCCTGGTGCATGGCACTGCAACTGAGGGCTGCTGCTTCTCGCTTCACACCCTTGTGGCTATGATGCGAAAGACGCTCAGAGGACGCTGCGTCCTGCGTCTGGACGCTAGGACGCAAGACGCGCGTCCAGACGCAGGACGCAGATCGAAATTTTTTCGGGCTGCCCCGAATTTTTTTTTTTTTCCAGATTACGAATTTCAATCTCGCGATTTCGACGCGACAATCGAAATCGCGAAATTTTGACCCCCCATTGCCCAATTCGACATTGAAAAACAGCCCCCCCCCAACATTTCATAACCCCCCATGCAACAATTGAATTCCAAATACCTCTCAACCACTTCACATCTAGAAAACCCAACCAAGGTGCCTACCACCAAGCCCATTTAGCAATCCAACCAAGTCATTTCTCATTTCACCCACCCAACCAATTCTCTTTCGAAAACCCTAGAGGTTTTAGCCTACAAGCATAGCTTAGCTCCATTATGACTTCCTCAAGCAACCCTACGTCATCTAACGCATCTAGGGATGTTCATGCCGAGGACGAGTCTCCCCCGCAGCGTTTCACTAGTGATGGGGTGGAGAAGAAACCGCAAAAGCCCAAACACCATATTTAATGGGATGAGATGACTGGTTGCCTGCATGCAGTGCTGTGGTGGTAGTTTAATAGTATGCGTGTTCTTCAGTGATACGATAAACTGTGCATGTGACCTTGGGACATGTGTGTGTGTGACAATACGTGACTCACCTTAATCTTGAAATTTGGGGGAAAATTTGATGTTGGGGCCAAGTTTGCCTTGAAAGTGTGGAACGTTTCCCCCCCCCCCCCTCCCCCCTTCATCCCATGCCCTATAACAAGTTTTTTTGCCTGCCCAGGGGTTTTTTTTGCCTGCCCGGGACTGCGTCTTTTGGTGCGTCTTTCTGGTCCTGGTGAAGCGTCCTGCGTCCGGACGCATGCGTCCAGGACGCAGGACGCGTCTTTCGCATCATAGCCTTGTGGGCCAGCAGCGTGCCAGCGTGCCCGGACCCGGACCCGGATCCGGACCCGGGGTCAAGCCTCTAAGCCTCTCACGGCGGGCCCTCCCCCCACTGTCCCCCCCCAGATGCCACGGGCCCGTGTTTGCCAACCAGCTGTCGGCGCAGTTTGGGCTCGCCACTGAGGTGATGCACTGGGGCCACGGGCGAGGCAGTGCGGTGAGGGGCGAGGCAGTGCGGTGAGGGGCGAGGCAGTGTGGTGAGCATGGGGAGGGAAGGGCAGAGGGGCGGGGATGGAGAGAGTGGTGGCAGAGCAGGCGCACTGCAGCGACACACCCCCCAATCCCATGGCGCAGCGTTCTGCACTCCCATTTCCACCACTATGAACTCCCTTGCACCACGTCCCTCAACTGCACTGCCATCACGGATCAGGAAGGGCCATGCATGGTGCATGCCACTCGCCTGCCATGCATGGTGCATGCCACTCGCCTGCCATGCATGGTGCATGCCACTCGCCTGCCATGCATGGTGCATGCCACTCGCCTGCCATGCATGGTGCATGCCACTCGCCTGCCATGCATGGTGCATGCCACTCGCCTGCCATGCATGGTGCATGCCACTCGCCTGCCATGCATGGTGCATGCCACTCGCCTGCCATGCATGGTGCATGCCACTCGCCTGCCATGCATGGTGCATGCCACTCGCCTGCCATGCATGGTGCATGCCACTCGCCTGCCACATCCCTCCCGTTCTCTTCAACAGTTCCCCTCCTCCCCCCACCTCTCACATCCCTGCCACCCCCCTCTCGCATCCCTCAACCGCCCTCCCCCCCCCCAGGTGCACGCGCTGCCAGCGGGCGACGCCATGTGGGTGGCGAGGCAGAGGGCGAGCGGGCGCGACTATGTGCTGGACTTCATTGTGGAGTTCACACGCGCGCACGACCTCTGGATGGCCATCAAGTCCTCCCGCTTCCGCGACCAGCGCCTGCGCCTGCAGGTCAGACCCATGATCCATGCGCCTGCAGGCTCGTGGGCATGTTCTTGCCGCCAGGTCAGCCCTGCACGTGCCTATGCAGGTTAGAATGTGATGGAAGGTGAGCGGGCGTGCCCGTGTGACTGTTCAACGCTATTAGAAGGTTCGCCTGATTTGCTATTAGAAGGTTCGCCTGATTTGCTATTAGAAGGTTCGCCTAATTTGCTATTAGAAGGTTCGCCTGATTTGCTATTAGACGGTTCGCCTGATTTGCTATTAGAAGGTTCGCCTGATTTGCTATTAGAAGGTTCGCCTGATTTGCTATTAGAAGGTTTGCCTGATTTGCTATTAGAAGGTTCGCCTGATTTGCTATTAGAAGGTTCGCCTGATTTGCTATTAGAAGGTTTGCCTGATTTGCTACTAGAAGGTTCGCCTGATTTGCTATTGGAAGGTTTGCCTGATTTGCTACTAGAAGGTTCCCCTGATTTGCTATTAGAAGGTTTGCCTGATTTGCTATTAGAAGGTTCGCCTGATTTGCTATTAGAAGGTTCACCTGATTTGCTATTAGAAGGTTCGCCTGATTTGCTTGCGGTTGGCGCACCAACTTGAGCTCAAAGGATTTGTGAAGCTTACACCTTCCTAGCGCATCACGAATGAGAAAGCAATCGGCCTCTCTCTTCTGAGATTAGTTGAACGTCACGTCAAGGCAGAGCGTGTGGCTTTCACCTTCCTGTCATGCAATGATCTGCTCTGGCCCCTACTGTCTCTCTTCCTCTGCTGCCTCAGCGGTGCGGCGTGCGGCGTCTGTTGTGCCTGGTGGACGGCTCACTGGACGACCTCATCGCCTCCGACCCCAACCGAGCCGCGTCAGTCCGCCCCCCCGCCCCTCCCCTCCCGCTCTCCCCTGCCTCTACTACTTGCTTGCCCCCGATCTTCCATTCAACCTCTCTCTCTCACTTTCTCATCACGTTCTCTCCCGCGATCACTCTTTCTGTCTCTACAACTCTCTGCTTTGCAACACTCTCGATTTTTTTCTCTACTCTCAGCTGTGCGTCCTGTGTGCCATATCACCTCTCACCCATCGCACCCCCCCCCTGGGCAGCATGATATCGGCGGAGATGGAGGAGGGGGTGGACATACAGCAGACGGCGTCGCTGCACGACACCAAGCACCGCTACCTCGACATCACCACCGCGCTCACCCGCCGCTACAACGACGCCGCTGCCGCGCTGCACCTCCACCTGCAGCAGCAAGCCCACGCGGGCGGCGCGCCCCCCCCGCCCTGCCCGCTGTACGGCGAGTTCGTGGCGACGTGCCGCTCCGTGCAGTCCGACTCCGTCTGCAACCTCTTCGGCCACCTGCTGCTGCAGGTGTGCTGTGCTGGGCGCATGGGGTGCTGCTGCTGCACGTGCTGATGGTGGGGGACGTGCTGATGGTGGGGGATGTGCTGATGGTGGGGGACGTGCTGATGGTGGGGGACGTGCATGAACTCCACTACAATCAACCTCCTCACCAACTCTCTTACCTCAATTGCCCTCTCCTTTCACCCTCACTTCCCCCACCTCCACACCTGCCCCCCTCCTGCCCTACTGCCCCACCAGGTGCGCTCGGTCTCAGTGGACACGGCCATCGCTGTGCTGCGCCGCTTCCCCTCACTGCGGGCACTCGTCAATGCCTACCAGCTTATGGTGCCTGCCTGCCCATTACTCCATCTCTCACTCTACACTTTTTTTTCTTTCTCTTTCACTCATACCATGTGTTCCTCTCTCACTTGTTTTGCACCCTGTGTAACTGTGTTGCCTCTCACTCTATAAACATCCATTCTTCACTTTCTCTCTTGCACAGAACTTTGCTCTCTCTCACATCACACCCTCACGCTCCCATCCCATGTCCCATACCCATGTGGCACACGGCATGGCAGGAGGGCAACCCAGAGGGGCAGGCGTTGCTGCTGACACGCATCACAGTGAAGGGGCGCCGCATAAGCGAGGCCGTCAGCCGCAAGGTGTACGAGATCGTGTGGACCTAGCCCTGCCCCGCCCCTTCTCCGCCTCGCCTTGCACTTGTTCTGAGCTTATAAAAAATAGATATTGCTTATATGATGTGTTGTTTAAGCCTTGGTATTCATGTCTAGCCAGTCGGTGGTGGTGCGTGCCTTGTCCATTGCGCCACTCGCACCTGAAACACCCACGCCCTCACTGCACCGACTAGACATGGGCAGGAGTAACAGGCATAAACCACAGTCCACCCTAGCTAGTATATTGACCTATGCATGTTGCACCGTGGCAGCATGCCACCCACCCACGCCCTCACTGCAGTGCAGCGCCCTCATGCGTCCACGGTGCGGCGCCCCTCGCACGTGCCGCACACGCGAGCCCCGTTGCACGCCACACAGTACCTCCACTTGTTCGCCAGCCTGCCAGCACCGCATCCCACCCACCCATGGCATGGGACGGGCAGTGGAACCGTGAGAGTGTGAGTGAGAGTGACCTGTGAGTGTGGTGTGGGTGGTGTGAGTGTGGTCAGTGTGGTGTGGATGGTGTGTGGTTGGCGTGGATGGTGTGTGCATAGCAAGTGTGTGACAGGCAGGCGCAAGGAGAGGGTGGATGGAGGAAAGCAGGGTGACAGCGCGCACATGAGCACACCCATCTCTGCGCGCACATGAGCACACCCATCTCTGCGCGCACATGAGCACACCCATCTCTGCGCGCACATGAGCACACCCATCTCTGCGCGCACATGAGCACACCCATCTCTGCGCGCACATGAGCACACCCATCTCTGCGCGCACATGAGCACACCCATCTCTGCGCGCACATGAGCACACCCATCTCTGCGCGCACATGAGCACACCCATCTCTGCGCGCACATGAGCACACCCATCTCTGCTCGCACATGAGCACACTCATCTCTGCTCGCACATGAGCACACCCATCTCTGCTCGCAAGCCGGCAACACCCGTGAGCAGGGGGGTGAGCAGCCCCACCCATCCCCATCCACCACCACTGCCAGCCTCCTCTCCCGCCCCCCTGCGCCTTCACCCGCTTCTTCATCCCTTCCATACATTCCCTTCCCCCTCTCCTTTCTCCCCACCATCTCTCCCTCTCCCCCCCCTGTGGCACCTGGCGGAGGAGCGTTGGGCGGAGGGGGGGTTGGAGCCCAGTCCGCGGGAGGGCCGCCCAGCGCTGGCAGCTTTGGACACAAAACCCTCGCCCTGGCACGTGCTGCAGATGCCGCTGCCCCTGCACGCCGCGCACGGCACCTGCTGGGGCCGTGGGTATGGTGCAGGAGGCTGCGCAGGTGGGAGGTTCAATGGGCATAGCAGGGGTTTGGATGGATACGAGAGGGGAAGAGATGATGGGCACGCGACCCACTATCACTCGTGGGACTCGCCCCTCCACCCCGTACATTCGTGTTCTGGCTGGCCTGGGAAAGAACACATTTGACGACCAAGTAGCTACAAGGGAAGCGCCTAGTGCATTAGTGGTTAAGCACTAATCTCGCATACACCGCCATGCTACTGCCTCATCACGGTCGGATCGCTTCTCATTCGCATATCCTTTCTTTTATTGCCCTGCCCATGCAACTTCGCGTAAATTTACGAGCAAGGAAAGGTAGACTGACGTGTAAGTTAACGTTTGCATGAGCAACAAAGTCATCAAGTGCTTGGAGTCCACGCACATACATGGCCGCACACTCCTGCCCTCACCACCACCACCACCCTTTCCCACCCCACCCCACCTCACCTCACCTCACCTCACCTCACCCCACCTCACCTCACCTCACCTCACCTCATCTCGCCTCACCTTAACCTTAGCAGCAGTCCCCTCGCCCTCCCCTGCTCTCTCCGACTCCCCTCCTCGCTGCAGCCCCACCAGCACCGCTGCCGCCCCCACCACCGCCACGGCGCCGCCCACAACGGCTGCCATGCCGCCCATGTCGCCGTCTGCTGCCGCCCGCACAGTGCGGGGTTGCCTGGGGCGCGCGAGTGCAAGGGGGGCCACTGCGGGCAGGGCTGCTGGGCGCCATGCGCCTGGCAAGCAAGGGGCGCGCGAGAGTGGGTGCGGCGGGGGGGCCAGCTGCGTGGCGGCGCAGCAGCAGCGCGCGCTGGGGGAGGCGGACGCGCGTGGTGCTGTGGGGAGGGGAGGGGAGGGAAAACGGGGGAAAAAGGGTGGGTGGTTGCGGGGAGGGGGAGGAAAAGCGCAGGGAAGAAGATGGAGCGAAGGTTGAATGGCAGGGAGGAGTGGGCATGTGGGGGGATGGCAGGGAGGAGGGGGCATGTGGGGGGATGGCAGGGAGGAGGGGGCATGTGGGGGGATGGCAGGGAGGAGGGGGCATGTGGGGGGATGGCAAGTGAGGGCTCTGCCTGGATGCCGCCTGAGGTCGCCCGGTGGGCGGCACAGAGGGGCGGCACAGAGGGGCGGCACAGAGGGGCGGCACAGAGGGGGAGGTGCAGAGGGCGAGCGAGTGAGGGATGCGCGAAAATAGAGACGCGAGGGGCGAGGGGGGATGGGCGAGGAGGGGCGGGAGCGAGAGGGGAGGGTCGAGGAGAGAAGGCGGCGGGTCGAAGAGACGGCGGGGGAAGGAGGTGTGCCGTGCGCGGATCAGCGGCGGGACATAGGACATGGCGGGTGGCGGTGGCGCATGGCGGGTGGCACATGTGAGGACGCACAGTGCGTGCGCACTGAGGGGGGTCGCAGCGAGGAGCGGGAAGGGCGGGTGGTGGTGGAAGGGAGGCAGGAGGGTTTGGCAGTGGGATGGGAGACGCAGTGAGAGAGCGTGTGGGGGAGGAAGGTGTTGGTGAGGGCATGGGTCAGCACTGGTGCCATGTGCGGGCGTGAGGGCGCGGTACTGACGCAATGTGTGGGCAGACGACGACGAGAGCGGTGGCGAAGCGACAAGGGCGAGCGATGGTGCCATGGCGGGATGCATGGCAATCGCGAAATCGAGTCTGATGGCGATCTGGCACTGTTGTGCTGCAGGGCGGAGGAGTGGGAATGCTCCAAATCGCCAAACAGAAATGCCCTCAGCCAATTTTCTCGAGGCGAAGTTGTTGAGCCCCTTGGCCTAAATCCGCTAAAGAATAGCGGGGTCGACTAAGTCGAGGATGAAAACGCGGCAGAAGACTTTGGAGAAAAAACTATTGGCGAAAGAGGCGAAGAAGTTATTGAGTAATTGAAGAGTTGCATGAGAATTGATTGATATGAGGGAATACAAACAAGGTTTAATAAGTAGCATGCAAGAGAGATTGTTGGAAAGTACTTCGTGGGACTAGAAAGTAGAAGGCAGCTAGAGTGCCATGTGGCACTAGGAAATCTTGGAAATCTTGGGTGAGTTGGATGAAGCTAAAGTTGGGATGATGTTGGGGGAGTGTTTAGGGTAAAATACCCTTGAACAGTAAAGTACCCCGTAACACTACCCCCTCCCAATGAGGCGACGTCCGCGGCGCCTGCAGACTGAAGGTAGGCTTGAAGGCAAGCGTTGTCGGGAGACGGCGAGGACGAAGGAACCCAGCTGTCGTCGGCTGCATCGTAACCACGCCAATGAACCAAGAAGTCAATGAAAGAGACCCCCTGGAGACGGCGACGGTGCTTGAGGATGCGCTGGATCTGGTAGTCGGGCTCGTCGGTGTCAACAGCTACCGGCAGTGGAGTGCGATCACGGCCCGAGAAGGTGGCGTTGGGATCGGTGTATGGACGAAGGAGAGACACGTGGAATGACGGGTGCATGCGGAAATGAGCGGGAAGGCGGAGGCGGTATGCAACTAGACCAAGTGCGCGCTCAATGACGAATGGACCAATGAAACGTGGACGAAGCTTGCTGTCCCGTGGCAGTCGGAGGATGCGGCTATCCAAGAGAACACGATCGCCGACTGCGAACGACACCTCACGACTACTGCGGTTGGTGGTGCGTGCCATGCGTGCATTTGCGAGCTCAAGATGCTTCCTCACGTGATCATGAATGAAGGTGAGATGCTGGTGGAAGTTGTCCGCACGAGGGACCACGGGTGTGAGATCGACACGAGTGGGGACATTGGGGTGCTGACCGTACAGTGCAAAGAACGATGACATGCCTGTGGCGGAGTGGTGCGTATTGTTGTAGGCGAACTCTGCCATGCTTAGCTTCTTGTCCCATGCGGCTGCGTCGTGCATCGTGATGTTGCGAAGAATCTGCTCCAAGGTCTGGTTCACACGCTCGGTCTGTCCGTCTGTCTCTGGATGGTACGCAGGCGACATGGCTAAGCGAGTCCCAAACAGCGCGAAAATCTGCTTCCAGAACTTCGAAGTAAAACGAGGGTCGTGGTCTGAGATGATGGTATCTAGAACCCTGTGCAGTCGGACTACGTTATCTACGAACAGCGTCGCGGCTTCCTCTGCTGTGACCTTGCCGTGCGTGGGGATGAAGTGCGCTGCTCAAGAAAACTTATCCACTACCACGAAGATGGCGTCGTGACCCCTAACTGTGCGCGGCAAAGCCATGATAAAGTCCATGGTAACTACCTGCCAAGGGCGGTCGGGCGGTGGAATCGGCAACAAGAGTCCTGCTTTGCATTGGTGAGAGGACTTCGTACCCTGACACGTGTCGCACGAACGAATGTAATCCTCTACGTCTACTGCAAGCCCTGGCTAGAAGTACGTGCGACTAAGCGTCTTAGTTGTCTTATTTGCTCCGAAGTGACCTGCACTAACGACGTTGTGTGCCTCGGAAAAAAGAAGCTATCAAAGAGGGCAATAGGCTGGAACCCAAATCCGTGTGGTACCCTTCCGTATGTAGACACTACCCTGCACCTCTGCTCCTGCGGGCGGCTGCGGTGTGAAGTCGGGATCTACAGTGTAACCGTGCTCGAAGAGTGCTGTGAGAAGTGGATGGCCGGTAGTGATTCTGAGACTAGCGAGCTGGCAACTAGGGCGAGTGAGCAGGTCTGCTGGGTTGCGAACGCCTGGCTTGTACTCTATCCTGTAATGGAAACTACCCTCCATGAACTCCATCCATCTAGCCTGGCAACGACTTAGCTGTGGTTGCGACTTGAGGAAACGAAGTGAACAGTGGTCTGTGCGTATAACACTATCTGCCCCCTCTAGGTAGCACCTCCACACCTTATACGCATGGATGATCGCGAGTGCCTCCTTATCGTGAATCGGATAGTTCAACTCCGCTCCCCTCAGCTTATGCGACTCGTACACGATCGGCTGCAACCCGCGTCCCTGATCCTCAAGAAGCACTGCTCCTATGGCCTAATCTGAAGCGTTGGTCATTACAACGTACGGGCGAGTAGGGTCGGGATACGACAGTGTCCGTGAAGACGTGAGCGACTGAATCATCTACTCGAACGCCTGCTGCTGCGCTGGACCCCAAAGAAACTCTACGCCATTCCGAAGTAGGTCGGTGAGTGGACTAGCGATGGAAGCGTAACCCTGAACGAAACGACGGTAGTAATTAGCGAATCCGAGGAAGCTCTGCAACTCCTTAACTGAGGTCGGTGCTATCAAATCCTGTACTCCTGCGATCTTCTTCGGGTCGGTCCTAATGCCACTAGCGGATACGACGTGACCTAGGGACTCGGCCTCGGGGAGGAAGAACTCGCACTTCGACTGCTTAGCGTACAACTGCTCCTTCCGCAAGACCTCGAAAACCTTCTGCAAGTGCTGCACGTGCTCCTCTTTCGTCTTGGAGAAGACTAGGATGTCGTCTAGGTAAACTACAACGAACGACCCTAGGAACTCGGAGAGGACTGTGTTCATGAGCGTCTGAAACGTCCCTGGGGCGTTGGTGAAACCGAACGGCAGAACCCTAAACTCGTACAACCCCTGCTTCGTACGAAACGCCGTCTTGTGCTGGTCCTCTGGAATTACTTGAATCTGAAGGTAACCCGAATGAAGGTCGATCTTTGAGAAGATTCTAGCGCCCTGCGCTGCATCTAGGATATCCTCTACTCTTGGTATTGGGAATCTGTTCTTGACGGTGGCGGTGTTCAGTGCGCGGTAGTCTACGCACATCCGTAACCCTCCGTCTTTCTTAGGCGCGAAAAGGATCGGTGTCGCCCAAGGGGATCTAGATGGCTGTATGAAACCCTGCGCTAGAAAGTGCCTAACCTGCTGCGCCATCTCCTCTGTCTCTGCTGGACTCAACTGTTAAGACTAAGGACGGAGTCTACGAAGATTAGGTGCCTAAATTTCTCAAAAAACGTTGGCTTAGAATTCTGGACAGAAAACGTCGAGTTCACAAGAAACGCCGTCGACGTAAGGTGCACTGTCAAAACTTCACCAAACTCAGATATGGTGTAGGTCTAGTCTGTGGCTACAATTCCCAATTTGAATCGTACGATAAGGTGAAGTATTACTTGACTTATCAATTTTGGCGCACAGGGAGGTATGCTGCCATAAGAACTTATCTCAATAGCAAGTGTCTCACAATTACACAATTACTACACAAGAGAGTTGGAGTAGCAACTAACCAGGTGGGAGGGGAAGAGGAGGACGAGAGGGAAGGTCCCCAGAGAGTCCTCAACCAAGGAAACCCCATGCCACACAATTCCCTTCCCCAAAGGCAACCCAACTTTGACCTTTGTCACTATCCCAACCTCCACAATCCACCTCAACCCAACTTGGCCACACTTGCCAACCTGGTTTGGTTTCTCCCAACCATTTGGCAGCAACTACAGTAGAAAATACGAATTTCCCAACCCCCAAAAGTCTGTACCCCTTATGGACGTAACCCCACAACTTCCCATAATCACCACAACCAAATATCAAAAGCATACGAACTTCTAACGTTCGTAACTTTCTTGCACGTGCTCCGATTGAAACGATACTTGGTTCGTCGGAAAGCTCTTGAGCAATGGAGTCACTTCAGATATCTGCTCAAGCCAAATAACATTTACACACACTCAGAGAATCCAAACGACAGAAAACACAAATTCTTGCACACGCTCATACAACGCATGCAACGCACGAACATGTGATGGGAGGCAGACAGACGTGAATGCAAATGATAGCATCACATAACAAACTCCCCCTCTGGCTGCCTACCATCATCCCATATGCCATAGCTCAAGCATACACCCTCAATACACACTCATCCCAGCAAGCATCATGCCCTTCCAATGCTCAGATTCAGCCAGGCGCTTGGTGAGAATGTCAGCCGCCTGCTGATGCGTCTTCACAATCTCCAGTCGCACCTCCTTGTCCAGGAGCCTCCTCACCCAGTGCCACTTGGGCCTGATGTGCTTTGTCAGCCCATGAAGACAAGCATTCTTTGCTAGTTTCATCGCCGACTCATTGTAAAAAAAATTCACAGTCGGCTCCCTCAGGCACACTCCGATCTCCTCTAACAAACGCCTCAGCCACACCACCTCCTTTGCCCCATGATGCAGGGCCATGTACTCTGTCTCACACGAGGACTGCCCCACCTCGTTCTGCTTTTTGCTCCGCCAGCTCACTGCACCACCTCCAAACAGGCACACATAGCCTCCAATGCTGGTGCCATCCGCCTTAACAGAGTTGAAGGTGGCGTTGGTGTAGCAGGTCAGGAGCGTCTCCCCCTTGCCCAAATCAGCTGCACCCCTCTGCAGCCTTTGTTCACAGCATTGTACTCCAAGCCCACTGATGCCGTAGCGCTCACATAGTGGACCAACCTCTTGGCCGCTTCCAGCTGCTCATGACTGGGGCGTGAAACCACACTTGCGAGTCTGGATGTAGCAAAGGCAATGTCCGGCCGCGTATGGTTAGCCACATAGTTGAGTGCCCCAACCATGGAATGAAACAGCTTTCTGTCACTCTCACCCACACCCTCCTCATCAGCACAGGGCTCCAAATTGAACCCCGAAGGCAGTGGGGTGGCTGGCTTCCCTCCATCTTGCAGCCCATACTTCTCGGCCAGCCCCTCACAGTACTTCCTCTGATGCAACCTCAACATTCCATTATCAAGGTCTCTCTCCATATGCATCCCCAGGTAGTACTTCACATCTCCCATCTTGGAACACTTGAACTGCATCTCCAGCATCTCCTCCACACGCTCAATCATTGCAGACGACTCAGAGAAGAGCAGGATGTCGTCCACGTACACCAGGAGCATGAGAAACTGTTCCTTCTCTTCTAGCAGGAACAGGCTGTGGTCACACTCACTCTTCTTGAACCCCCCAGCCAGCAGTGTCTCCTCTAGCTTGTTGTACCATGCACGAGGAGCCTGCTTCAGGCCATAGATGGCCTTCTTCAGCCTGCACACCTTGCCGCTCCCATCATCCAAACCCTCAGGGTGTAACATGTACAGCTCCTCCAGAATGATCCCATTAAGGAAGGCGGTGGTGATGTCCATCTGCTTCACCCGCCATCCACGGTTTGCTGCCATTGCTAGTGACACTTTCAATGTTGTGCCTTTCCCCACAGGAGTAAATATCTCGTCAAAATCCTTCCCCTTTGTCTGCTGAAACCCCTTAGCCACAAGCCTTGACTTGTAGCGGGTCAGCTCCCCATCTGGTCCGTACTTGTGCTTGAAAATCAGCTTGGAAGAAATGGCCTTCTTCCCAGGAGGCAGCTCACACAACTCCCAAGTCTGATTCTCCAGCAGAGAGTTGCACTCCTCCTTCACACTCTGCTTCCACTTTTCAGCATCGGGCCCGCTCAATGTCTCAGCTAGCGTCTTGGGCTCAGGGACGGCTGCCCAGTAGCAGTGTGCTATCTCATCCTCATCACACTGCTCAGCCACACTCGAAGCCCTTACCACCTTTGGC